TTTACTTTACCTTCCTACCCTCCTAACTAACCTACGTCATAATAGAGTACTAATAATAATAGCACCACACACACACACACACACACACACACACACACACACACACACACACACACACACACACACACACACACACACACACAAATATACATAGTTTCTCATTCCCACCAGAATAAAGTACAGGCACAGCTTTTAACTTACTCTCTTAGAATTTTTACAACATTTGACCGAGAAGGGCCTCTGAGTGAGTCCATCAGTAGGATGCAAGGTCTGCAGGGTAGAAATGATGAATATTAATACTTTATGTTTAAAAAGCATAGAAAGCTGTGCGTTAACCATAAAATTTAAAACCTGCCTCAGTAAAACCTGGGAGGAAAATAAATCTTTTATGCATAAACAACCTAATAATACTTAACTATCCATGGTTATATTAAATACTGAATTATAGAATATTAATCTAACCATACCTAAGTGATGAATACATTTCACTGACATTTCATAGTTAGTTTCTAAAAATATCACAAAATTTAGTAGAAAGCCAAAACAATTCTGAAAATTTGAACATCCCTATACTCCAAATTACCAAAAGTGGGGACCAGGTAAAAAGTAGAAGAAAAATCAATCCATTTTCAACTAAAATCTATTTTAGACAACAAAACAGGTAATCTTCACATAAACGAATTAGTTTAGAGCCCAGTGTTTTGGGCAAGCTTCCGCTTTTGAACACTCAATATAAATAACACTCAATCTTCAAACTTTGTTGTAAACCCAAGTAAGCGAGGAAGTATAATGTAGTGTAAAAAGTCCTACAATGGTTAAAAATCTAGGTTCTTCCTGGCTAAAATTTTATGAGACCTGGAGAAAAATCTTTTAACTGCTCTAGGTCTTTATATTTTTCCTTTATAAATGAAGTTTGCATTTCAAATGCTGTTAATGGAGTTTCAGCCAACATTTCCTACAAAGAGTCAAGAGATGAAGTCTAGGACTAGGTACTATTTTATCACCTAAGAAGTCTGGAGATCCTGAAAATCCTCCAAATATGTACATCTGAGAACCAAAATAGACTCACTCACACTCAGGGTTCCCATCTGGAACCTGTCCCTTAGGACTGCCTTGAGTCACTCCACAGCCTTCACACAGTAGCTACAGAATCAGTGTAAACTCAAATTCCTGTGTTACCGATGTGAATTGAAATGACAGTTTTTTGTCTTTTCCTGCTTCAACTCACTATATATCCAAAAGGGATAGTGGTTTTCTGTGCGCATACGCACACATGGAAAATGGGCAAACGGAGAACTGATACTATTTCCATTCTCGCCAACTCGATCCCTGGACACTGGGCATGATCCAATTTTCCTCACTGACCCTGAAAGCCTTTTGTGACTTTTGCTTAAGTACTTGTTTAAATTAAAACAGTACGGGGTTAATGTTTTATTCTAAGAGGGTACCTGAATAAAAATTATCATGCAGTTTGCAAGATATATGATTAATGCTTACTGTTTACAGATGGTAGGCTTTAAATGCCACTGTCCTATTTCTGAACTGCAGTTGTCATCGGCAAGGAAACCATCATCACTGCTATCATCCTGTAAAAGACAGCCTACTGTTAGCACTGAAAGCATACAGTCTAAATAACTAACAACTTAACAACAGCACTATTGAGGATAAACATCTTTGCAACAAAAATGTAAAGCAACTTCTTCTATTTAGGCAATCTGACATTAGAAAATGTATGTATGTCACTCCATTTCATTTATCTTATGCTACAACACTGGCATTTGAATGAAAAGAAACAATCAATCAGATGTCTACAAAAAACTTGTTACATCTATTTACTCAATCTAAATTTTTAAAGACTAAATATAGTATGACTGATTCTTCTCCAGTCAAACACCATGGCTCTGATTTTAGGTATTTTCACAAAAATTTAGCTTGCTGGCTAGGACAACTGTTTCATAACAGGGCATGAGTGACATATTTGTTATTCTTTCACGCAAATTTTTTTTCATATCAAAACATTTAAAGGGTTTTGAGAAACACTGTTTTACTCAACAAAACCAGTTATCCACTTCACTTGAGAGAAGATGGCTTTATGATACTGTGCCTTATTCTACAAATTATCTTGAATGTAAAACAAACAAGACTTTTTCTGTTCTTTGGGGAAGCTTCCCGCAACCTTACGAAATAATCAACAGTAAGAATAACAATAACAACAACAATAATAATAATACACAATTAGAATAACTAGTTCATATAACTGCTATGATGAAAGGAGCATAATATGTAACCATTGTAAATCCTGAATGTAATCTAGACATGGGTCTGTATGTATTAAACAAAAACTATCTCACAGCCACACATTGTAGACCAACCAACACTACAAAAAATGTATTTTGTTCACAAGAGGATTAAGTAAAAACGAGAAATGGTACAAAGTTATCTTTACGACTAGATAAACTCAAAGTTTATCCTAACAACTAAGGAAAGGTCAGAGTTAAAGAAATGGTATAAACTGTTCTCTCAATATAAAGCCCTGTTTAACTAAAATTATATTTTCAAAAATATACTTTATTCTTGATGTTAATAAAGTTTTTTAGAGCAAATGTGACTCTAAGGAAATATCAGAATTGACCTATGTAGTTTTAACTACGTATTACCTGCTCCTGCCATGATACATACACACTAAATTAGATCAAAGAAAAAGAATCACTAGAAAGTGTAAAAAATATAATTTTGCTATGCTTGTTCACTACATAATTGAAAATGTAAACATTTGCCTCCTACGTCAGTCCAAAGGTAAAGTATGGTCTGCAAATGCTTTAAAAGAGAAAGGGGAAGGGGTGTGACTGGGGTGGTGGGGGCGGGAGCTGGGTTGGGGTGGGAGAATTAATCTGACATTAAAATTTTCTAAGGTGCATTAATCCACAATAGCAAACAAAACAAAGAAAAACTCTCAAACAAAAAATAAAACAACACTAATAATTTTTATCATGGCAACTTCTGAACTGAAACCTGAATTTGTGTTTTGAGATGAGTTCCAAATCCAGAAGGCGTAAGTTACTGGTTGAAGGAACTGCCTACAAGACTCCAAATAAAACCTATTAATTAGATAAAATATTAGAACTTTTGGTCAAGTGTTAGATTTTTCACCTGGTTGTCCTGATCTTCTGAGAAGTCGATGAGTTCATCTTCAAGCATTTTACTACCTTCAGCTGATTCTTCACTATAGTTTAGTCTGATTTTACTTAAGCCATCTGTATCAATAAGAAACGTCATATAATTTTTAAAAAGAACATGCACATAACTTAAGAGTATATGATGTTAAAATTAATGCTTATAATTAATTATACTAATTATGAATACAAAAATGTGTCTTCACATATATCACAAATATAAAGTAAGTTACTTTTAATAAAAACCTGGACTGACATGTCATTTACAGAACTATTTCTACTCAGACCCTGAAACTTGTTAAAATTTAAAAACTGGGTATCAATTATATTATTAAATACTTATATATATTTAAATACATATATATAAATGCTGTGCTAGGTATGCTAGAGATATCTTTAATAACAGTAACTACAATAGTCTGAAAATAACTCAAATGTTCAATAACAAAGAACAGTTAGCAAATATAGAACATAAAATTAATTATTGTACATTTAAAAAATTAAAATTGTAAAAATATGGAAAATTGTATAATAGAAGTTAAAAAATGACTAAAACTAAGTAAAACAGGTCTGCTTTTGAACAAATAATTTTTAAAAATACATAAAGATGGAATAATCATCATAAGATAGTAGTTATGAA